TGCCATCTGCATTTCACAAACTGAACCAATGTTTCTAATCATAAAGGCAGAAGAAACACAGGTATTTCATTTATTCATTCTGTCTTGGAGTCTCATGTTATCTTCTGTCAAAAGGGGGCTGCAGCCCCACGTTTAGGAAAAACCACCTTATTTTTTAAAATAAAGGCTTCTAGAATAAGGGCTACCAGCATACTTGTATGTACAGGAAAATCATTCCGCCCAGCATGCACCTGGCTAGCATTCACAGAAGGCAGATACGTACAGCAGACAAACTTAGAAGTAGGCACATATTTAGCTTTGGATGGTGCTGCCTTTCTCTATCCTCTTTTAGCTTTCCAGCTGTTAACATTTCTGGGCCTATCAAACAAATTTTTGCAAACGACCGCTGGCTGCGTGCCAAACTTCGCAGGGATTTGGTTGAAATTTAACTGGATAGAGAAGGTTACACCTTGTCCTTGCCTTTATCCAGGCATATTTTGATCAGAGCTAATCAAACATAGCTGTATGTTAAACATGTTACACTTTTACTTTAATACAACCCAAAGCAGTACTTAAGTGATCTACATACACGATGCCCGCATGTTGACAAAAAAAATAAATGGGGCAGCTGCACGTAGGTCAGGAAGCAAAGCACTGGAGGCAAGACCTGTAATTAAGTCCTTACATGCTTTTTATGGGGGGAAGGAAGCAGAAAGGGAATAGGGGAAATTTCTCTTATTGGAATGGCTGAACGTGCCACCCTCTTCTGGAAGAACAATTACTGAGTACACGGCCTGTAAAATGAGAACAGAAAATCCTCTAGCAGTGTAGGACCTGGGATCAAAACCTGGGGGTGGTGATAAAATATCGTCAGAGAGCAGCACAAGCTGGCTGCTCCCTCAGGACCAGGGTGCCAGGAGCAGAGGGGGTCCCTGGGCTGGCAGGACAAGGACCTTGCCAGCCAAGCTCTGTCCCTCTGCCCGCTGCGAGGGAGCAGGGCAGGCCTGGGGGTGGCTGCCTGGATCAACGCAGAGCCCAGATCACCAGGCAGATGGTGATGGGGCAGGTCCGTGGTCAGGTTGGGAACCAAGTCAGCAAGTCATGGTCAGGATCAGGCCCCATGGGAGTAGTCAGGTGAGGCACAGCCCAGCGATAGACGGGCAAGCCCGTGGTGCTGAGGCAGGCCTGAGGTCAGGCCAGGCAGCCGGCCCACGGGTCGGGGTCAGGGTCAAGGTTAGTGGGTCCATGGCCAGGCATGGTCAGTGCTGCGACGCTGCGGGGCTGTAGCGCAGGCAGGAGCCAAACACAGAACTTACTGTTTGCATAAGTCAAATCTTAAGAGTCTAGTCATTATCAGTTGAAATTTGATTTTACAGAAAAAAAAATAATAACTAATCAAAACTGTTTTACACACACTTAGTTTTCCCCATTTTCCTCTTGCTGTGCTCACCCTTCCCCTGCTCCTCCTAAGGCAGGTAATTTCATTCCAGGGCTTGTAGGAGGGTGATACAGCAAACTGTTCTTCACCCAGAGGAAAGCTCCCATCTCATACAAATTTGCATGAGTTAAGTTCTCCTTTGGGAATATTTAACTGATAACTGTAAATGTAACAAATGTAACATGTAGGGGATGTTATCACTTCAGGTGGTCAGAAACAAGTCTTGGTTCTTTGTGAATAATTGGGATGGTTGCAAGACAAGGGACTCCTGAATAATCCCTTTAGGCGCCTAGGCCTTGGGAGAACAGGTATGCAAACTACAGAGATCAGGAGGCTGCAGGATAATCTTAAGACCCCCGCCGAGAGACGCCAAACAAACATGTGCGATGGACATTACCATATATTAATGAATTCTCGGAAAAGCCATTACTATGATAAACATTTCTTGGAAATGTAATGAATATGTATGTTAACATAGCATAAATACCTAGTAACTGTGTCTCTTCGGTGCACACGTTTGGAGGAGAGATCCCCCGTGTGCCCGGCGCCGCAATAAAGAATACCTGCTTAATAGTCTGCCGACTATTGAGTCTTCAATTCCGGCTTTTCACGGCATCATAACTTTTGTAGAGCTTTTATACCCATGTTTGCAGAAGCTGTATGCCCTTAACCAAGCTGTTAAGGAAAAAACAAGACTGGGAATCTGAACCAGATCAGGACTAAGCCCTGTGAGCTTTGAAAATCAAGTTAGCATAGGCACTTGCATTACGATTTCCTGACCCAGTATAACCATTTCACTTGCTGTTTGCAACCACTATAGATGTAGGAGCAATGTTATCACAAAAAAAGGGAATGAAAGCACAAGCTATTGCATATGCATCCTATGCCTTCATTAATACTGAAAACCAGTTCATTTTGTGTGAAAAAGTGTGTGGCACCAATATGGACCTTAGAAGACTGGTCATATATCAGACAGTCCAATTTCAGCTCAGACAAAACACGACCCATGAAGTTCACTGTGTCAGGAAAAGTACCAAATAGGCATGTTTCCATTCTATGGACCACAAGGTCGATACTTTCCTTAATGAGCTGGGCAATTGCCACAGATTAAGGACAGATTCTGTCACTCACAGCTTATGGACTGTTAAGTATGGGGGCTGAATTTGAATGTCCGCTACCACAGGAAGAAGAAATCAGCAACATCAGCATCACTTTCTTCCCAAGGAAGGACTTGAGGATGACAATTCAGGTGTTATCCTCTTCACAGTCTAAAATTTCCGACTTTAATACCCAGAGAAGCAATTAAGAGAGTGAGTGTAACACCAGGAAAAAGTCATAGAAATGAAGAAGTGCATGTGTTACAGTTTTACCGTCATTACTATTATTGAGATTTCTTGTGCATATAAGTACTCTGTGTGCACTCATTCTTTCTTCTGTGCCTATCAGGAGTATGTGCTTAGCCTTGCTACTGTCTGGATTGGGAATCATGGAGCTGCAGCTGCATCCTATCTAGTGGATTACTGCATTCAGCAAGCCCTAGCACTTTTATCTCAGGCCTTTGCATGAGGGATTCAGTGCATCCTTACGTTGTTATAAGGGACCATGAGTTTTTGGCAGCACCCAAGAGCTCATCAGACTGATTGAGAACCATCTCTTCAGCTCAAACGTGACCAATGTTACTCTCATTATTGGCTTTTTAGCTCAGTTTACCTTCCTTTGTACCTTTTTCTCTCAACAGGCCCAGAGAACGGATAGTTGAGCAGTAAACAAATCAGGAACAAAATCTCCTGTCACTCTGTAAGATGGCCATCAGCACCTGCACTGGCTCTGGCTAGGACGGAGTTAACTTCTCACATAGCACCTCAGATGGTGCTGCATGCTAGATTTGCAGATAAACAGTGCTTAAGACACACAAGTTAGTCCTACGGTATAGAATGACGCTGTCAGTCATTTGGATCGAATACCTTTGGGGAGTTTGGGTCAGCTGTGCTGGCTGTCCCCCCTCCCAGACTCCTGCCAGCCCCCAGCCTGCTCCATGGGGGAGCAAAGTGAGAATCAGTGAAGGCCTTGATGTTGTGCAAACACTGTTCAGCCCAAATATTGGTGCATTATCAACCCTGTTTTCGTCACAAATGCAAAACACAGCACCATACTAGCTGCTATGAGGAAAATTAACCCTGTCACAGCCAGACTCAGTACAATAATTTACTTCACTTTCTGTGAAGCCCTTTGGGCCTAATGATGCAATGACTGTTTCTTCCTGAGTTTGGAAGCTGAGCTGGCAAGGACCTGGCCCAGGGGAGCAAGTAAGAGTGGGGCAAAGCAGTCTTCAAGCCCTGTGAAACCGTTCACTGACCATAAAACCCTTCTTGCTGTATGTCCTTCGGGAAAGCAGCACAGAAATTCCTGAGCTCAGACCCTCACCAACACACTCTGCAGTTCACTCCTGAAGCCATCTCTGAGGGATTTTCCGTGACACCTATGGTAACAGCAGTCTAGGCAAGCTGCTCTGGAGACCCTGCAGCCCCCCCCTTCTCACCCAGCAAACACATCCCCAGACCCGCTCTGCAACAGCCTCTCCCCTCCCCCGCGTGCTCTCAGACCTCCCGAGAGGAAGGGCCGAAGGAAGCGCGGG